CAAAAAAAAAAAAAAAAAAAGTGAGAGCCTGCTCCTGACCTGAACTCTGTAACCTCCGTGGGCACAGGTGGATTCGGGGATGATGGGTCCTCCCCGAGGAGCCCCCAGATGGCACTGCAGCACGTTCAAGAGCCATCCTTACATCGGATTTCCCTAACAGTGTCATAGAATCAGATTGCCACAAACCCTGAAAGGTCTTTCAAGAGTCTGTTCAGTTGATTAGAGCACTGGATGGCTCGGCAAAAGTCACACCTTTATTTCGTCTGCATCTCATCCTGGTGAAAAGGCAGGCTGGAGCACATGGGCAGAATAACAGACTAGAAATGGTAAGATCTGAGTTCAGGGGCCCAGCTCCATCAGCTGCCACACTCTGGAGCTCTTTGTTTTAGACTAAGAGATCTCTAAGTGGAAACTATCAAAGTTAGGTCTCTTACTAGCTGCATCCCCAGGAAATTTTCTGAGTTCTTATTTCCGCAACTGTTAAATGAGAATAAGGAGAACAGCCTGCCCACCACGCCGGGCTGCTCTGCATGCCATGAGTTAGCAAGTGAGAAAGCAGGCACCCTGCCACCTGTGTGTCTCTGTATGGGGACAGGGCACACCTGCAGGGATGCTGCCCAGGAGTTCAGCTCAAAACACAGAGGCTTTGTGAAATACTGCAGTGGGCTCTAAGCTAAGCACGTCCTCCTCCTTCCCCTCGAAGTGCTTGTGAGAGAGATGAGAGGAGTGAGACTAACCTCTGCGCTGTTCAAAGCAAAAGGAGAAATAAGTAGGACACATCTGGATGGCGGGACCAAAAAAGGCTCACTTTAAGCTTCATGCATAAATGTGTGCTTTTACAAACATAAAAGTAAATGCACATGTATATTTCATCTTATATATTACACACATTCCACATATACATCTGTCTAATATAATGCATACCTCACATGTATAATTACGTATGATACGTAATGTGTATTATCGTATGTGTGCATGTGTGTGCATGCGTGTGCATCTGTGTGTGTGTGCATGTGTGTATGTGCATGTGTGTATGTCTGTGCATCTGTGTGTGTAGCATGACTTCCATAGGAGGGACAAGGGAAGATCCCTAGAGGCCAAGGCTGTACCGTAAGGACACAGGCGAAAGTGAAGCAGAAAGAGAGCAGGCAGACTTGATGGTGAGTTTCTTTTGGCTGAAATACGGCAACAACACACATCTCTTCCCCCTCTCCACGGGCATGAGCCCGGGGTTAGAGTTCTGCAGGGAAATACCAGGGCTGGGAGGGGAGGGGAGGACACCATGGGCAGCTCCCTGGACAAGCATCCAGCTTCGATGGGCTGGATCGGGTGTGGGACATGTGTGAGAGGGGACAGGTACTCACTGAATAGTCTAAAACACATTTGGAAGGCAGTTAGAGGGCTTCAGAAGACTGAAATCCCTGTGATAAAAATGACAGGCAGTAAGCATGGTAAAGCACTTGCTGCCACCCAGGCCCCGTTATGCGAGCTCTATATGTATTAACTCAGGGCATCCTCATGACAGCCCATCCCTCCCCCAATAATAAGTGGTTCCAGCTAATAAGCGGTTGAGTGAGGTAATCAGATGGCAGAGTCCATATTCTCAACCGCTACAGGGGGTGATGTTTTCTTAAGTATTTTCTGCAGCGTAATAACCAGGAAGAACTTTCAGCCCCCTCTCACTGCTCTACACCTGCCGCACCTGCAGGCCTCACCACACCTGCACGTTCAGCCAGGCGCGGCTCACTTTCTATCTAACATGAGTAAGGGTGGGTTCTGTCTTTCGCCATATAAGGTTATGACCTCCCCAAAGGCAAGAGGTCCATGTGTATCTCTTGGGTCTCCCACGACGCAGAACACAAGGAAGGTTCTCCCTCTATAGCAAGTGGATAAGAAACGAGGCTATGGGAGGGAGGGAGACGCATGAGGGAAGAGATATGGGAACATATGTATATGTATAACTGATTCACTTTGTTATAAAGCAGAAACTAACACTCCATTGTAAAGCAATTACACTCCAATAAAGATATTTAAAAAAAAGAAATTAGAAAGTGAAAAGTAAAACTAAAAAAGAAAAGAAACTAGGCTTTGATGTAATGAACAGGAATTTAAGTATCAGTTTTGCTCTTATTAATTGGGACTTTGGGCAAATTATTTGACCTTCTTAAACTCTCTTGTCCTCCTGTGAAATGGGTATAATAATAGAAGCAACTCATATAGTAAAGCTTAGCACAGTGCCTGGCACACAGTAAGACTCAGTAAATGTTAGTGCCATGAATAATGACTCATTCTTCCAGGCCATTGATTGGGCCTCCTCCCTCACAGCTCACCAGCCTCTCCTGTCTCCAGCTGGTCACCCTCAGCAAAGGCTGGCATCCAAATCTCCAACCAATTGAGCTCCAGTAGATCTCAAAAGGGAAGGAAGGCACCCCTGGGGCGTTTGGAAATGGGAAAGGTCCATATCAGAATGGAGAGGAATGGTGGTATTTAGCGGGTTGGGTAGCCAGGGTGTAAAATATCCTGCAATGTGCAGGACTGCCCCACACCATGAAGAATTTTGCCACTCAAAATATCAACAGTGCTTCCCCTGAAAAAACAAAGCACTGCTTGGAAAATAATTTATATATGCGGGACAGCAGACAAAATCAATCCCATAAACAGATCAATGAGATGAGCGATCCAAAATCAGTTAGGAAATCACCAGTACCTCCTGATGGTTTGGGGTGGCTCTGCACGGACGGGAATCTGCTCGGCCAAGGCCAGGGTGTCCTGCAAGGTCTTGCTGACCTCCTGCAACTCGCCCAGGGACAGCCCTCCCATGAGGTCGCAGCCCTGCCACGGGAGGACCCACTCCTGCTCTTCTAGTTCCCTTCTCAGCTGTTGATCTTTTGCATCCAGCACAGACATCCTGGCTTGGAGGGCTTCGATTTCTTTCTGTAGAGAATAGAGAGAGCAGATTTTGTAAATTCACCCTGCTCGTGGCAGACTGCGCTGCTGAAAATGAGTCCTTTCCATGAGAGTCCGCCATATGCATGAGAGTCCGCCATATGCACGAGAGCCGTGAAGTTGCCCTTCTGAAGCAGGCAGATTTTTGGAGGTTTGCTGAACTGGAAAAATCATGCCAGCTTTGTATTTCTGATTAGCTGGCATAAGGAGAAACATTCCCTCCCAAGCATGAAATAGCTCTGGGTGGCGAGCCAAGAATTTGACTTGGAAGAAGCCAGCAAATATATAAACGACTTACTTCATTTCAGGTGACAGAGCTAGAACACAGGGCGGCAAACTTCATGGACTTGAGACACCAGTAAGCAGGAAACACAACCCACAGACCAAAAAAGAAAAGCAAACGAGGCTTGGCTGGTCTGTCCCCAAACATGCAAATTTACCATGTAGAGAAAGATTAGAAATCATAGCCTCTTAAGCCTACAGGATTGCGAGAAAAATGACATGCCGCAGATAGCACTCTCCTGTCTAGGTTCATAAAAATAGTAAATAAATTTAACTTCCACTAATACAACAAACCAAAATCCAAAGAATCGAGTATTGTCCAATCTTGAGGTCAATGGATAAAACAAGCAGCAGGTAATTGAATGCCCGCTGTGCGTAAAGTTTTACGGCAGCTAATCATCTCACTGACCATAGGATTCTGAATCTAAAACGAGACTCTTTTAATTAACATACTCCCAGGTTCCATGCACTGGTTTCCAGCTGATAAGAGCATAGCTCTAACCCTGGCTGTCCCCCCATCTCTCACCCACGTCCTCTCAGCCTCAAGGTACAGCTCACTCACAGCTCTACCCACTGACCCCTCTTCCAGTAGGGGAGGAAGGAGACACAGCAGGAGGTACTGAGGATCCACCCAAGACACCCTAAGAAAACAACAGCGTGTATCCCACTGGTCCAAGATTATGGTATTACTGACACTGTCTCCCATCTCACCTCCCTACTTCTAACCTTTGAATTCCCATCCCCTATTCTTTTCTTTTCTGTTTGTTTGTTTTGGGGTTTTTTTAACTGTGGTAAAATACAGGTAACATAAAATGTACCATCTTAACCATTTTTAAGTGTAATTCAGTGGCGTTAAGTATATTCATATTGTTGTACAACCATCACCACCATCCATCTCCAGAGCTCTTTGCAGCCCGCAAAACTGAAATTCTGTCCCCATTGAACACTGACCCCACCATTCCCCCTGCCTCCAGGCTTGGTGGTCATCATTCTGCTTTCTGTCTCTAGAATCTAACTCTTCTGGGGACCTAATATACGTGGAATCATACAATATTTGTCTTTTTGAGGCTGGCTCATTTCACTTAGTATAACGTCCTCAAGTTTCATCCATGCTGTAGCACGTTTCAGAATTTTCTTCCTTTTAAAGGCTGAATGATACTGCACTGTATGTATACACCACATTTTGTTTATCCATTCATCTGTCGATGGACCCTTGGGTTGCTTCCACCTTTTGACTGTTGTGAATAATGATGCTATGGAGATGTCTTTGGGTCTCTGCTTTCAGTTCTTTTGGGGCTTATACCCAGAAGAGAAACTGCTGAATCACATGGTAATTTTACTTTTAATTTTTTAAAGAACCACCACCCTGTTTTCCACAGTGGCCCTCCACCCTATTCTCACACAGATGTCAAAGTGACTCTTTAAATTGTGGTCAATTACATAACTTCGCTGCTTAAAAACCCCCCATGGCTCCCAATGCAGCCAGAGAAGAGCCCAAGACCTCACAAGGCCCTGCAAAGGCCCTCTCATCACTGACCTTCTCTGCTGTTCTCCGCAACCCTGGCCTCCTGGCTACCCTTTGAAGGCGTGGGGCACACTCCCACTGCAGCCCTCGAGTGACTGTCCCCTCCATGGGGAACGCTCTTACTGGAGATTTCTGCAAGGCCCCTCCTCCCTCTTACATCAAGCGTTCGCTTCAATCTCCCTTCTCAGTGAGTAGACTCCCCTACCCCAATGCTCTGGTCCATGCACTGTAGCTCTTACCACCCTATGACGTTCTAGGCATAGAATTTCGGCATTTATTACATTTGCCATTTCTTCTCTATCTCCCCACTCCCACCCCCACTAGGACATAAACTCCACAGGAATCCTGAGCATTGCAAACAGTACCTGGCATGTCATAGGCACTCAAAAATTCCGCTGAATAAATGAATATCCACCTTCCCCCAGAGTTCTGCCATGAATGCTCCCTCCAAACACTAAGTATGTTCTGTACACTCTGACGTCATCAGGAATTGGGGAGACCTTCAACTGGTGAATATTGTTCAGAACCAAAAACCAGACTTCACATTTTCAGCTACCCAAACCTTACAGTGATGCCCACTGAATATGAAAGTGCCAGTTTCTCATCCACCAGAGGGCAGACAGCAGAAGCAAGAAGAACTACAATCCTTCAGCCTATGTGATGAAAACCACATTCACAGAAAGACAGACAAAATGAAAAGGCAGAGGACTACGTACCAGATGAAGGAACAAGATAAAACCCCAGAAAAACAACTAAATGAAGTGGAAATAGGCAACCTTCCAAAAGAAGAATTCAGAATAATGAGAATGAAGATGATCCAGGACCTCGGAAAAAGAACGGAGGCAAAGATCGAGAAGATGCAAGAAATGTTCAACAAAGACCTAGAGGAATTAAAGAACAAACACCTAGAAGCATTAAAGAACAAACAAACAGAAACGAACAATACAATAACTGAAATGAAAACTACACTAGAAGGAATCAATAGCAGAATAACTGAGGCAGAAGAACGGATAAGTGACCTGGAAGACAGAATGGTGGAATTCACTGCTACAGAACAGAATAAAGGAAAAAGAATGAAAAGAAGTGAAGACAGCCTAAGAGACCTCTGGGACAACATGAAATGCACCAACATTCGCATTATAGGGGTCCCAGAAGAACAGAGAGAGACAGGACCCAAGAAAATATTTTAAGAGATTATAGTCGAAAGCTTCCCTAACATGGGAAAGGAAATAGCCACCCAAGTCCAGGAAGTGCAGAGAGTCCCATACAGGATAAAACCAAGGAGAAACACGCCAAGACACATATTAATCAAAATGGCAAAAATTAAAGACAAAGAAAAATTATTGAAAGCAACAAGGGAAAAAGGACAAATAACATACAAGGGAACTCCCATAAGGTTAACAGCTGATTTCTCAGCAGAAACTCTACAAGCCAGAAGGGAGTGGCACGATATATTTAAAGTGATGAAAGGGAAGAACCTACAACCAAGATTACTCTGCCCGGCAAGGATGTCATTCAGATTCGACAGAGAAATCAAAAGCTTTATAGACAAGCAAAAGCTAAGAGAATTCAGCACCACCAAACCAGCTCTACAGCAAATGATAAAGTAACTTCTCTAAGTGCAAAACAAAAGAGAAGTAAAGAACCTACAAAAACAAACACAAAACAATTAAGAAAATGGTAATAGGAACATACATATCGATAATTACCTTAAATATGAATGGATTAAATGCTCCAACCAAAAGACACAGGCTCGCTGAATGGATACAAAAACAAGACCCATATATATGCTGTCTACAAGAGACCCACTTCAGACCTAGGGACACATACAGACTAAAAGTGAGGGGATGGAAAAAGATATTCCATGTAAATGGAAATCAAAAGAAAGCTGGAATAGCAATACTCATATCAGATAAAATAGACTTTAAAATAAAGAATGTTACAAGAGACAAGGAAGGACATTACATAATGATCGAGGGATCAATCCAAGAAGAAGATATAACAATTATAAATATATATGCACCCAACACAGGAGCACCTCAATACATAATGCAAGTGCTAACAGCTATAAAAACAGGAAATCAACAGTAACACAATAATATTGGGGGACTTTTACACCAAAGGACAGATCATCCAGACAGTAAATTAATAAGGAAACACAAGCTTTAAGTGACACAATACACCAGATAGATTTACTTGATATTTATAAGACATTCCATCTGAAAACAGCAGATTACACTTTCTTCTCATGTGTACATGGAACATTCTCCAGGTTAGATCACATCTTGGGTCACAAATCAAGCCTTGGTATGTAAGAAAACTGAAAACATATCAAGCATCTTTTCCGACCACAATGCTATGAGATTAGGAACTAATTACAGGGGGAAAAAAACCCATGAAAAACACAAACACGTGGAGGCTAAACAATACGTTACTAAATAACCAAGAGATCACTGAAGAAATCAAAGAGGAAATCAAAAAATACCTAGAGACAAATGACAAGAACATGTAGATCCAAAACCAATGGGATGCAGCAAAAGCAGTTCTAAGAGGGAAGTTTGTAGCAATACAATCCTACCTTAAGAAACAAGAAAAATCTCAAATAAGCAATCTAACCTTACATCTAAAGGAACTAGAGAGAGAAGAACAAACAAAACCCAAAGATGGCAGAAGGAAAGAAATCATAAAGATCAGAGCAGAAATAAATGGAATAAAAACAAAGAAAATAATAGCAAAGATCAAAAAACTAAAAGCTGGTTCTTTGAGAAGATAAAGTTGATAAACCTTTAGCCAGACTCATCAAGAAAAAGAGGGAGAGGACTCAAATCAATAGAATCAGAAATGAAAAAGGAGAAGTTACAATGGACAACACAGAAATACAAAGCATCCTAAGGGACTACTACAAGCAACTCTTTGCCAATAAAATGGACAACCTGGAAAAAATGGACAAATTCTTAGAAAGGTATAACCTTCCAAGGCTGCACCAGGAAGAAATACAAAATATGAGCAGACCAATCACAAGTAATGTAATTGAAAGTGTGATTAAAAATCTTCCAACAAAGTCCAGGACCAGATGGCTTCGCAGGTGAATTCTATCAAACATTTAGAGAAGAGCTAACACCCATCCTTCTCAAACTCTTCCAAAAAACTTCAGAGGAAGGAACACTCCCAAACTCACTCTACGAGGCCACCATCACCCTGATACCAAAACCAGACAGAGATACTACAAAAAAAGAAAATTACAGACCAATATCACTGATGAATATAGATGCAAAAATCCTCAACAAAATACTAGCAAACAGAGTCCAACAACACATTAAAAGGATCATACACCACGATCAAGTGGGATTTATCTCAGGGATGCAAGGATTCTTTGATATATGCAAATCAGTCAGTGTGATACACCATGTTAACAGATTGAGGAATAAAAACCATATAATCATCTTAATCGATGCAGAAAAAGCTTTTGACAAAATTCAACCCCTATTTATGATAAAAAACTCTCCAGAACTAGGCATAGAGGGAACTTACCTCAACATGATAAAGGCCATATATGACAAACCCACAGCCAACATCAACATCGTTCTCAATGCTGAAAAACTGAAAGCATTTCCTCTAAGATCAGGAACAAGACAAGGATGTCCACTCTCGCCACTGTTATTCAACATAGTTTTGGAAGTCCTAGCCATGGCAATCAGAGAAGAAAAAGAAATAAAAGGAATATAAATTGGAAAAGAAGAAGTAAAACTGTCACTGTTTGCAGATGACATGATACTATACATAGAGAATCCTAAAGATGCCACTAGAAAACTACTAGCGTTCATCAAAGAATTTGGTAAAGTTGCAGGATACAAAATTAATACACAGAAACCTCTTGCATTCCTATACACTAACAATGAAAGATCAGGAAGAGAAATTAAGGAAACAATCCCATTCACCACTGTAACAAAAAGAATAAAATACCTAGGAATAAACCCACCTAAGGAGGTAAAAGACCTGTACACAGAAAACTATAAGACACTGATGAAAGAAATCAAAGATGACACAAGCAGACGGAGAGATATACCATGTTCTTGGACTGGAAGAACCAATATTGTGAAAATGACTATACTACCCAAAGCAATCTACAGATTCAATGCAATCCCTATCAAACTATCAATGGCATTTTTTACAGAACTAGAACAAAAAATCTTAAAGTTTGTATGGAAACACAAGAGACCGTGAATAGCCAAAGCAATCTTGAGGGAAAAAAAATGGAGCTGGAGGAATCAGACTCCCTGACTTCAGACTACACTACAAAGCTATGGTAATCAAGACAATATGGTACTGGCACAAAAACAGAAATATAGACCAATGGAACAGGAGAGAAAGCCCAGAGATAAACCCACGCACCTATGGTCAACTAATCTATGACAAAGGGGACAAGGATATACAATGGAGAAAAGACAGTCTCTTCAATTAAAAAAAAAAAGTGCCAGTTTATTGGAGAATATTTTCAAATAGCAACAATGTTTGCTTCCCTTTGCCACCTTGCTATTATATGGACTTGGATGGGCAAACTCAGATAATAAGAACACTCTGCTTGAGGCAGGGGCAGCGGGAGGGCTTCCAGTAACATGTCTGAGCCCCATTAACTTGTCTAAGGTCATTCAGCTGTTTGGAGCCTAAGCCAGCTCTTGGACTCAGTGTTAAAGCCCTCTGCTCTTTCCAGACGTCAATGCTCCCCATTCCTGCCTCAAGGCCTCCAGGCTCAGGCAGGTGTGGACAGAGTTGCAGGGCTCCTTGTCTCTGGGGGACACTGTTGACTTCCAGAGCTCCTGGTTGCCTCCTGGCTGGAACTCAGGGCTGCACCAAGATTTCTAGCCCCTGATGATTCTCGGCCAGCTTGCATCCACTGCTCTGGGCCAACCTGGAGTTCCCACGATGCCCCAGTCATTCCCAGTCTTTCCCAGTCCCGCCCACTTTGCCCGGTCCACACTTACAGCTCTTCCTCCTGACAGGTGCTACTCGGAGTCCAACCTGACAGCAATTGCCATAAAGCATTGCCACAGCTCAGATTTTTTTTCTGCCTTCTAAAAGAACCTTCTTCAGGGCAAAATGAGAAGAGGTGACAAACTGGCCTGGCAGACAAGGAAAGCATATTCAACAGGTAATGAGGAATAGCAAAAACAGGCACACACACCGCCAAGCTTTCAACTCCTCATTGGTAATGAGACTCCCGACAGGCCCCCTAGTCACCACCCTCCACCTTGTGCTTCCAGGTAGACAGCCAATGCTCTAATTGCTTCACTCAAGCAAAGCAAAGACCCACTTTGCTACCTATAGCTCAAATGGATAAGAAAAATGCTGTCTTATTTCTTGAAGATTCTTCACCCGCTTACCTGTAACTGCTGCTTTTCTTGGAGAAGCCAGTCTCGCCTGGTGATGGACACAAGCATGTTGTCCTGAGCGGTGGGTTCCAACATCTTCGGCTCCGTTCTGAGCTGGGCTTGGGCGCCGTCACTGACAGCTCTTAAAACAAAACATACATATTGGTACAGATATGGATGAGCTGAAATCCTCAGATCTACAAGAATGTTAATGGAAAGAAGGTCCACAAAGTGGCCCCCAGTGGCTCTCATCCTTAGGAGGGTCATAGGGATGAGGTCCCTAATGTAAGTTTTTGTTTTAATGACAATCTGTCGGAGCTTTGGCTGTTTCCCAGAGCCACCTTGCTTAATTGGACTGGGCACTGTCCAGCACTGCAGCTATGCGTGTGGCTATCTGCGCTGAAAGTGTAAAATACACACCAGATTTTAAAGACTTAGTATGAAACAAAGAGTGCAAAATAGCTCATTAATGATATGTACGTTCATTACCTGTTGGGATGACAATGTTTTTGACATACTGGGTTAATTAAGTGTATTTTAAAAATTAATTTTACTTGTTTTTTCTTACTTTTAAAAAATGTGGCTACTAGAGCATTTAAAATCATGTATGTGGTTTGCATTATACATCATTGGACAGCTCTGCCTGGACCATCCAGAGCAAAATTCCAGGGCTGATCTTGGCTGTGGAGATGACAAAGAGGGTTGACTGATGCTTGGGTCAGAGAGTCTCAGAAAAGGTTTGCTAAAAGACTGTCAAAAACCACTAAAAATCTGTTTGGTTCTTTCTCCCATGCTCGTAAGAGTTGGCATATTTGGTTGAAGCAACACTGGTGAAGATGTGGCCCAGGCTGCCACCTTATGCTGGTGAGTTGCCGTTGCAGGAGCCTTGCAGGTGTTTCTCATCAAAGGATGACAAATCAATTTATAAGCGGTTACAGCAGTAAACAAGACTTGTCCCCTGCGCAGAGCAGAGGCGATGGATAAACCAAGGCCACGGAAAAACGTTCCCCCCAGGGCTCAGACTTACTCACCGTAGGAGTGGAAAGGTAGACGCCATGCTCCCACTTCCTACATCTTAACATGGCCCTTACATTAACAAGGGGGCCTACCAAGCAGCACAGTGAAACAGCTCTAATATTCTTAGAAACAATGATAGAAAATATGTCACCTCAGCTTTTCTAAGTTAGAAAACAGTGGACACAGAAAAGGGAGCCTTGATTGAATTTCTGGGCCAGACACAGATTCAGACTCAATAATCTCAAAAGCTGCTTACTTAATATAACATACCACGCAATTCAGAAGCTTATTTTAAGACTTGTTACTCTCTGTAACAAGTCTCTGTGTGCGTAAAGGCAAATCACAAGAGTAGTAGTAGTAATTAAAAAATTTAACTGGTAATAACAAAATAATCCAGTATAATTGAGAATTTACTGTACGCCGGGTGTTATCAGTGTTGCCAACGAAGAAACAGAGCATCAGGGAGATCTGAGCAACTTGCTCTGGTGTAACCAAGCAGGACCCATGGGGCCTTCCCAGAGCAAGACTCCCCCTCCAGGTCCTCTGCCTGCCTTTCGTCTGTAGAAAAACTTTAGTCAAAGAATAAATTTAACTGGAGAAAAGAAAATGCAGAAAGAAAGGAAACTTTCAAGCAAGACAAAATAATGATGGTTTAGCCATTAAACAAAGAAGTCAAAAACCTTTTGTTCCTCCTCAAGGGCTATAGATAACATTCTGAGCCACGGCCTTTGAGCTGTTTGGCAGATACTGAAACCCTCACCAGGCAGAAAAAGTTAACTGTATGCTGCCCACAAGCACACAGACCCCAGACCAGCTGGAACCAGAAGGTTGATGATGTTGACTCCCAGTTACCTCACCACCAACCAATCAGAAGAAGGTCCACGAGCTGATCACACACCCCACAACCCCCCTCCCTCACCCCGTCTTTATAAACTTTTCCCTAAAAACCATCAGGGAGTTTGGGCCTTCTGAGCACTAGCTGCCTGGACTCCTTGCTTGGCGCCTGCAATAAACACTGCACTTTTCTTCACCCCAACCTGGTGTCAGTAGATTGGCTTTCCTGGGTGTGGGCAAGCAGACACAAGTTTGGCTCCATAACACTGGGTCACACAGAGAGCAAGAAGCAGAGGGGAGGAGTCCATCAAAGGGCCATGAGGCTGGCTGCCACTTTCCAGCCCTTCCCTGGACACCATACACCAGTCAGGCTTCAGCAAGATTATAAACTCCTGTTTCTTCCTGGCTTCTAGCCACGTGCCACCCACACCTGCTGGCTAAGTCCCCTTGACCATGATTCAACACCGTCAGCTCAGAGTGACAGCTTCAGGGAGGTAGACGAGCACGGTTTGAGCCCTAACTCCACCTTTTTCTAGCTATGTGTCCTTGGACTTACCAAACCTCTCTGAACCTCACCTCCCTCGTTTTTAAAATGAGGATGATGGTGAAGCTGATGCCTTCCCTATATGGCTCTATATGGCTGATTACGGGATCAAATGTATTCAACAAATGGCCACTGAGTGCCTACCCTGTGCAGGTCCCGCCCTCACCCTGGGGCCACAAGGGGACTCTGTCCTCGGGGAGCTGGCCGCTTCCCCCCCACCTCAACGTCGGCATCAGGAGACTGAACGCTGTGCTCACGTCCACTGGACACACCGCCCTTTGTAATGAAGAGTAAAGATGAGATGTTTCTGAGGACCTTTCCATGTATCAGAAGGTGGGGCGGGGGGTCCCTGGAAGGAAACCACCATCAGCTATTGTGGGAATGGAACCCACCTCCTCCCCTGGGCCCCCGAGTCTCAGCCTGTCCACCCAGCCTCTCGCTCTGGACGGCGAACCTCAGCCCATCTCGTGCTGCTGTCCCCAGGGCCCAGCACTGAGCAGGGCTTAGCAAATATTTACTGAGTGACTTCATGAGTCCACGGCCTAGAAAAATCCAGAAGCTGTTTATATTCAGCTTTCGATTGCATTAGATCATTTCTTCACACGAATTTATTTCCCATTTGCTCTGCTTATGCAAATATTAAGAGTTTCCTGAATTTCCTAAATAGATACCATCTGGGTCGGGATGGGAGTTAGTGAAGGGAATCAACACAGAATTGAAAATGAGCTGCAGGGGAACTACAGGTGGGTAACTGGGAATTCTCCTTATTATCGTTAATCACATTCATTACTTAATCCATAAAAAAAGCCCCTGTGATTCACCAAAACTCCTGTGTCTCTCAGACTTTGACTCTGGGTAGAGAAAGCCATGCACAGACGGTTGAGTGGTGGCCCCAGGACAAAAGACAGCTCAGGAATGAAGCCGGGGACCGGTTTCCATCTCAGTCCATCAGCCCTCAGAGCCACGCTCCCTCTGCCTCCTACAATGCTGTTCCCTTTATTTTAATAAACCCCAATGTGTAAACCCAAATGTCAGTGCAAATTAGCCTTGCTATAAACTAATCAGTATGGAAAACGAGCAAATCCCTCAGGGGCAAGAATTAAAAACACGTGGGTTGGAATGTTAGCACGGCACTTGGTGCCCACGGGGACTCGGGGTGTCTAGGACCACACTATCAGCCCCGGGGTTCATGAAGGCCCCCATCTGCCCAGTGCTGGAAAAACCCTGGCCTTTCTACTTTTGTCTTTTCCACCAATCACTTAAAGAAGGATAAAACCCATTTGTAAAATAAGATCCTACACCACTGAAAACAGCATAGATCCAAACTGCACAGGAGAGCATACCGCATCCCAGGGATAACATGGACCGCATGACTTCTGTGAGTACAGAGTTCAGTAATATTGAGAAAAGAATGAATCCCACCTGGGGGGAGGTGTTTCCTGAGAGTGTGCACCTGTGATGAACCCACCTGGTCACCTCCTCTGCAGCTGGCTCGCTGGGCCCGGGGCCCTCCAGTGCGCTGCCTTTGCTTGGAGGGCCTCCTTCGGGAACGTCTCTAGAGTGATACAGGGCAGAGGGGAGCCCAGTCGTTCCACCGGCTGGGACATCCCGTGCCAGAACGGCTCTTGGCAATTGCTGTGGTTTATACAGTTGTACGTATAACACAGAGGGTCCCTTTTCGGACAGGAATGACGGACGGTCATCATGATGCCAGAAAAATCGCTATGTGGTGCCACTGCTGGAATCGTAGAGTTTTAATTGAGGAAAGAACCAAAACGGATGCTCTCATTTTCACAGTGAGGAAAACCTCAGCTCAGATGACCACTTCTGGCAACAAGACTTGAGTAGGACCTTCCGAATACCTTTGCCAACTGCTGCTCCATATCGAGGGCTACTCTATCAAATTTATGTCATCCGACGAATGTGTTTCCATCTCTCCCTCGGTGGGATGATGGTGATAAGGAAGTGGTTTGGGCCAGCTATGCAATCAAGGAAGTGTGCGTTAAATCTGGAAATAGCTTTCTTAGCCAACAAACAATGTCATAAATGACTGAGGCCACTCTGATGGCACAATTGAACATTGTAAATTTGCCAGGGACAATGTAGGTAACTTTACAGTTCTTCCTTATATATCTGATTTGGGTCTAAAAGTAAGGAGAGTGGAGTAAAAGTCATACACCTTAGAAAAGTGGACATCACTGGTTTCTACAATCTTATCCCACATATAGAGATGACAGCCTTGCAGGAGGGGCACATGGACATTTACTTGGGTTTATAATATCCATGCCCAATACAACAGGCTTCAGACGGGCTTCAGCTGAATTTGAGCAAAGAGGATGACACAGGAGACCTTTACTTGGAAGCTTTATCTATAATCCACTGATTTTAAAACAAATTCCGATGAGTCTTCTGTGACTCCCTTCAACTGGTTTTTCTCCTTTTCCTTCCTCCCTTACTTCTCAAGGTGATGACAAGGGATCAGAGGTGGGTCTCCTGGGAGAGACACAGGCCGTGCTAGTCCCCATTTGGCTCGAGATGTGATTAGGGCTTCAGAAATGTCTCCTGCCATGTTGGTAACAGGGATCATTTTTATGCCACCTCATTTTACATCTCTGGTAAAATGTGTCTGTAACAGTTATTTTCTTTTGCCATGTATCTCCATTCCAGCCTGTGAACTCAGAGCTGATCATCGTTGAATTCTGCGGTGTGATGGTCCCAACATGACAATTAAATGGAAATAAAGAATC